GCAGCGCACGCTGATGGAAAAGATGTATGTCGAGGGTGTCTTTGAGGCTTACCCATCTGTACCACTCCTCGTGAATCACATCAATTATCCGCACAACACCAATCAAACCGCCGTCCTAGGCGCCCTTGAACTCACTTGTAAGGCGTCGGCTGCCTATCCTTGCAAATGTACAGGCATCTCTCAGTAAATGAATGGCATGCCTTATTGCCCTCACACCAAACTTATTCTTTCTCATAAAAGGGAGTCGATCTAGACATGGCTGAGGAATCCGCAAAATCGGTCAATCCGTTTACACCATACCCAGCCAGCAGCCATATGGATGGGACATGTTAGATATGGCTGGCCAATCGCTGGTTTTTTTAAATTCCGATGCTAATTAGGAGGTTGTCACATATATCTATATGTACATATATGTATGTATCTGCACCATTTATATCTTAACCCTGTGACCCACCCTACCCTATAAAATAAGCTTATTTAGCTTGTATGATACTGAGTATATAATCTTTTAGTTGATTACCTTATTATGATATAAGACATACAGATATCCTAGTGTTAGGGCTAACGATAGGAAAAGACAGAGAAATCCGAATCCTACTTGGTATGGAGGGTTGAAATGATTAAAATTAAATCGAATACAAAACTGCGCCACCATCTCGAAATGAGACATTGTTTTTAACACCGTTATTTGGCTACCTGTGGATAGTATCAGGGTAATACCCTACTTCATACGGATGGTGTATCGCTGCGGCTGGGCCACAAACCAACCAAGAACGCGTCCAGGGCATTGAGATCACGCCCGAAGGATTCGGCTGGCCATTGCAGCATCCCTGTCTCTCACATCATTCTGGATCAGACGAAGACGCGGGAAAGACGGAATGAGCAGAAGTTGGTTGTTAAGTAGCCCCGTGCGCGTGCAGTGGGATCTGGAGAGGTACTTTGGGTTTAGATTGGATTATCGGTCTGTTTGGATTGGACTGAGTGTGGAAGCAGTGGATACGTATGCGAATGAGTGGATGTTGGGATTACGGATGTGAAGGACAGTATGTATGAGGGAGATTGAGAAATGTCTGGACGAGGAGAGGATACAAGATGCGGCGAGGTTGTTGCCGGTGGAATAGGTCTATCCGCTGTCTGAGGAGCTGAAGGAAATTCTGGATGATAGCAGATGATCTGTAGGGATAGGTATCTCAGTTATTAGCATCGATGTAATACCAAATGGGCGCCTTCTGTCTAAGGAAGATTATGTATATCACCATCATCTTGGTCAATCACTCTAGCATAGAATGAAACGCAGTTACTACAGTCATTGAAGTAATTGTGTCAGGTTACTGGCTAATTATCTTCTTCCTCTAGTGGTCTAGAATACGCATTCTGAACGAATATATCGTGAACAAATACATGGTTCCTGGTGGGTGGTTATCCAGGTCCATTCCCATTTCCATTTCCAGGGTAAGGTGGCAAGCTTAGGGTTACTACTTACCACAAATATCACTGTCATGTCACCATATTGCATTCTTCTCGGCCTTTGTTAATCGAAGCTTTATGAGGAAGGTCATATCCCGGTTATAAAGCATCCTTAAATGAACCAATGCTTGTCCAATCGTGGCCGCACGTGGAGATCCACATGCGGAAATCCAGTCAACACAAACCTGCTTAAACGGCACGATTCTCGCCTAATTGGGTCAATCAATACCAAGTACCAGAGATATGCTACGCTCAGTCCTCTAGAACGTGTATGATTATTTCATTCCCAGTTCGTATAAAACCTGCCACAACCCCCCTGTCAACGAGGTCAACGATGAATCTCTGGACTAGAATCAATTCCTCAAGATGAAGGGTATCTGTTCTATTGCCTGGCTAGTTCCTCTCTTGGAACTGGCCACCGCTGCCCGAGCACCCATCAAGAAGACCCTGACCGGTCATATTGACCCTTCCCAGGTCTTCTCCTTTGTCTATGTGCCATTTGAAGTGGAACTCGGGACAACTTCCATCTATGTTGTCCAGAACTACTCAAACAAAGGGCAGGGAAATGCCCTTGATCTGGGGATCTTCGACCAGCGAGGATACCAGATGATGGACGCTCAGAATGGCTCCACGGGCACTCGAGGATGGTCCGGTGGCTTCAGGTATGTCATTCCCATGTCATCTCGCTGGTTTCCTATCTGACAAAGTAGAAACAACTTCACCATCACGCCCTCCTGGGCCACCCCCGGCTACAACCCGGGCGCCATCGAACCAGGCACCTGGAATGTCGTCCTGGGCCCGTACTCATCCGTCCCTGCCGGTATTGACTGGCAGCTCGACATCGAAATGTCCTTCGACCCCGTTGACTCGTGGTTCACCCCTTACTACGCCACCACCAACCTGGACCCCCTCTGCAACGGCTGCCAGGAAGACTCGGCGTTCACCTGGCTGCGCGGCGACTTCCACATGCACACCGTCTATTCGGACGGCAAATACACACCAGATCAACAAATCCACAACGCTCTGGCCCGAAACCTCTCCTTCATCTTCTTCAGTGATCACAACACCGACACCAGCAACCAGATCATTGGCGCCTACCAGGCCTCTCTCGCCCCGGACCTACTCATCGGCCGCGCCATCGAGGTCACCACCCGCTACGGCCACTGGCAGGCCGTTGGCCTCGACCGCGACCAGGTAATTGAGTGGCGGTACAAGCCCGATGACAACCCCGGCTTCGCTGCCGCCGCTCACCAGGTTCACCGTGCGGGTGGCTTCGTCTCAGCCAACCATCCTTTTGCGAGTTGCCCCGCGTGTAACTGGAGTCTTGGGTGGGAGGAGACCGACTCGGTGGAGGTCTGGAACGCGCAGTGGGACGACCAGGATCAACAGGCCGTCCAGAAGTGGCAGGAGCTGCTTGTAGAGGGGAAACTCCTAACCGCCATCGGAGGCAGCGATTCGCACTCTCCCCCATCGCTGAACGGGTGGCCGACTACCATCGTCAAGGCGAGGGGACGCAGCCAGGTTGCGATTGTGGAGGGTGTCAAGGCCGGCCGGGCGTATCTGGTTCAAGGACCGGGTATGGACATTGCGTTTGAGGTGCACGTTCCCTCGCTTGAGACTCCTGCCCAGATTGGTGATAAGCTCCGGAAGAGTGCTGCCGGGGCCAAGGCTGTATTGGTGGCGGAGGGGCTGTCGAAGCTCAAGGCCTGCTTTATTTCCGATAAGGGGTACTTCTACAACACTACCATTCAAGATGGAGTATCGATTGAAAAGGGTGTGCCCCCTGGGGCCAAGTTCGTGCGGGTGGAAGTTCGCAACGGCACGACCGACGAGGTGCTGGCCTTGACCAACCCGGTTTGGTTCTTGGATGCTTGAGGTACATGTACATAGTACAATAATCATGTATTTTCATATATGTATATTGATTCGTGCCATGGTGCTCAAAGCCTGGAAGATGGTGTCGAGTCTGCCGGGAATGAAATCCAAGATGGGAATGCAGGCGGATACAAGGGCGTAGAGGACGCCCAGGGTTTATTGCATACCTGATAGACATGGAAAATATGCTTCACGAGTGGGATATTCCGTGGCGGACAGTAATCACATTCCGGATATACTCTTACGGTATGCTGTATCCCCAAGCCCACGTGCACTTCCTGCTGAGAGTCTTCAGGTGCAAGATGGGATTGACGTCCGGCCGAATGGCAGTTGTGGACAATCATAAACCAGATGGGCTGCGAGTTATTGATGCTAGTGTGTTTCCGATTTTGCCTCGGGGCGTCCACAGCCTACTGTTGTAGGTGGCTTTTGTATTACAAATGATGTCTGGGGACAGCGCTGAGGACATGTTGCCGGAGAAATTGGCGCAGCCGATGATACAGGAATATGGCAGAGCTAGAGACAGAGGATCGATGTTGATCTGTAGCAGTACCGAAGTGTGACAAACAGAAATGAACGCTGGAAAGAATGTCAGCATACCGTACATTCGGTGGATACCAAACCCACTGTTGATGGAAGAGATATCTCTCGTTCTGACTACATCACATGCTGTTTGTCATTGTGTCCGCCTGGTGAAGTCGTAGTCCATCTACGCTACTTGACACAGAACCAATGGTGTCCACCACCGGATTCTTTCATCTGAGACAAGTGAGCTGAGCAAATCTTCTTCCATCTTCCATGACAAGTATCTGGAGAGCCAGTTCGTAGGGGCCCAAGAGCGTGACTGCTCTCGACACACTGTTCCCAGCATGCCCAGATTAGGATTTATATAGACTTGTCATAGAAGAAATATGAATGAGCAATTATCGTGAGGCATCTATGACCATTTTTCAATATGTATTTCTAGCAGCATTGATCAATTAATAATTGATCAGGACTCGGACTCGTAGGGTCCAATGTTGATTAGTGGTTAGTGATCATGACTATGTGACTGTCAGCAGAATTAATTAGAGTCAGTGGCTGAGCTATTTAATTCGATTACTATACTTTGTCTTACACTGCCTCTCGCCACAAATATTGAGTAGCCACGATTACTGACCGTTGGATGACATCTGAACATTGTCTCACTTTTACCATGGAAAGGTGATCTATTTTTACCGCGCCAGGATCGGTGCAACCCGGCAACCACCCCATGACAGCTGCACCGACCAAATGTTAAATCACGAACGGCATTTCTCCAAGAGGAATCTGTGCAGTAATTGCCTCGATGATCTCATATTTCTCGGCTTTCGAGAAACTGGTGGGGCGACTAGACAACACCGGTCTCGCCGGACTATGAATAGCTTCGCCGGTAGTCAATAGTTCGGTCTATCGCTGAATTGACGGTGGCCTAACTCTCCTCGGACTGAAGATATGTGACTTAACCGAATCACACAAGAGGCTTGCGGATGTAGGACCAGATGGAGAACCCTTAGTAGCTGCAACCGCAAAGCCAGGAAGACTTTAGTATATAAACATGACTCCCGCACTGGCTCGGGATATTCTTCCCGTCAATAGATCAAGTTAGATTCTTACAGTCAGAAAGATTCAAAATAATCATGCACTCTCTGCTCTTTGTCTCTGCCCTCGCAGGCTCTACGCTTGCCTTTTCTGGCCACCACAGCTTCACCAACTCGACAATCCCTTCTCACCACTCATCCACTTATACTCTGCTTCCGACAGGCGGAGGAGGTGGTAAGCCTACTCAAACCGGTGGCACTGGCAATGGCAATGGCACTGGCAACCCTCAGCCTACAGCGACAGTCGTCCCTGGTGGTCCCTCTGGATCCGTCTCAACCGTCACCGAGACCATCACCAAGACAACATTCAAGCCCTGCTCGACTCCCATCCACACTCAAAGTGGCACCACCTACTACAGCACCTGGTTGACAACCTCGACCTACGAGACAACCACCTGTTACACCACTCAATTCCCCGCAACGATCCAACCTCCTCCCCAGACCACAACCGTCAGCCTGCCCGGCCCAGGAAACGCCTGCCCTCCCCCGTCCACGGTCACCGTAACCGTCACTGTAGGCAGCGGCAGCAATCCCGCAACGCACACGCAGGCACCAGCACCCGGTGGAGGCAGCGGAAGCGGGAGTGGTACTGGTCCTGGACACTGCAAGCACTGCGAGACCATCACTTACACCAACACCTACGGCCACACGACCACTATCGTAATTCCCCCGATCTCTGAGCCCACGGACACTGCTACCACGCACACCACGGGAACAGGAACGACTACCAAGCCTACTCCCCCTGTTGGCACGGGTAATTCCCCTAGTCACAGTCACACCAGGGGATCGCCAAGTGGCACTGGGGGCGGGCAGGCTCCTACCGAGACGAAGACATGGCACTTTGAGAGGAGGATGGTCCGGGTTTGAGACAGTACAGGGAATGGGAATCGTGGAGTTTAAAGGAAGGATACCGCGAAATTCTCTGTCTTTGCAGTAATAAGCATCGGCGTCGGCGAATTGTCAGCGGCTGCGTCTCTTTTTGCAGTTGGCCATATCTTATCTTCTATCTGGGACATTGGCACTGCACTGCATATAGATTGTCATAGAATGGTTGTTGCCTGACTACCATTTCAGCTAGTGAATATAGGCCTAGATTTCTTCAATTATCGTGGTTCCTTGAGTGGTATATGTGAACTATTCTCGCTCATAGCTGCAAACATCTTCCAGGATCCTTCACCCAATGTGGCCAGTCCAACCTCCCGGCCAGCGTACTCAATATTCTTTTTATGGGGAGCGTCGGGTATGCCTCCGGCACTCACCACATACACTAGAACACCGTCCATTCAGCTAGACCGGTCCCGGACAGTCACCTGGAAAGAGATGTTTGAGCTGCTCTGCTGATTGTGCTCGCCTGCTCTGCGGTGCATGAGCTCTACCAAGTTCCTTTGGATCTGTACAGAGGACCAGTGGCAGTGAATAAAGAGGGGTGTCAATGTGCATATCATCAAAGAGTATAGCCTAGGGAACTCTGAGTTCTCATTCAAGCTTTGCAATCATATAGTTACATCTAAGAGATTTTGTAGGCAAGAGCAGAGTAATCTATTGATTGCTCAGAAATTATTCGGGTGGGCTCCACTTTTTTCCGTTCCGAGTTCCGAGTAGCCTTACTGTACCGTTACATTGTGGACAGTAGTGGCGGCCTGAATGGTGCCCGAGTGGTAAGGCAGCAGTCATTCTCTGTCGCCTTCGCAAGTTCATCATGTCATCATCTCTAAGGGTCAGTCATGCATAGGTCACTCAATGTCATGCATGAATCCTGGCTATCACATTATTACGTCTTGGTATCTGTGTACCTGACATATATACAATATTTTAGTCGGCAATGTGGTGCCTCTGAAGAACCGAATCCGGGGCGGATCTCTCTCTCGTATCCGTAGCGGGTCTGTCCTGGAGTCTGTCTCCTGGCGATTGGCGCACCATAAGAAAAAACTATTACAGGCTGACCCACCTTGGAGCGGACTTGACGTAGTGGGCGGACTATTGATCATAGGGGTTTCTAACCCGATATATATAAGCTACTCCCTGACGAGAATTTTATCTCTCGTGGTCCTGGCGTGTTGGTTTCCATCAGGGACATAGACTGCACCATGAATGCAGCAGACCATGCAGTCGAGCGCGCCGAGGAGGATGCGATTCCGGTCTCCTCGCGCGCGAGTCTCGATTCCTCCTTCACTTCCAGCAGCGAAGGATCCCAGCCCCGGCTGCGAACAATGTACTCGCGACGCACCGAGACCGACCTCGAACGCTATCAGACCTCGTCGCAGGTCATAGATCGGATCGAAACCCAACGCCTGCAGCATGCGCACACCGTCGGAGAGAGTATCAAGACGCAGACCCGAGCGTCTGCCCGCGGGCCTCTCCCCGCGTTTGGCGCCGGCAAGCCCTATCCTCCGCAATTGCCCAATCGGGAAGACTATGTGGTTGAGTTCGACGGGGAAGACGATCCGCTGTACCCTCAGAACTGGAGCACGCGTCGAAAGTGAGTTTTCGCTTCCCCTTCGCCACCCGCGACAGGATGTGGTGATATTGAATTTTTTTTCTCAGCCTTTCGTGACTCTTTCTAGACTCTGCACCGGTGCCATCCTCGCGTTCACGAGTATCTGCTCGACCTTCGACTCGGCCGTCTTCTCCAGCTCGACCAAAAACGTCGCGCACGTGTTCGGCGTCGGCGTCGAGGTCGCCACGCTGTCGAGCTCGCTGTATATCCTAGGCTACGCCTTCGGGCCACTCGTCTGGGCGCCCTTCTCCGAACTGCAGGGCCGCCGGCTGCCCATCCTCATCGGGATGCTGGGCTTCGGGATCTTCAATACAGCCGTGGCTGTCGCAAAGGACCTCCAGACTTTACTCATCTGTCGATTTTTCTCCGGCGTCTTCGGCAGCTGCCCGCTCGCCGTCGTGGCCGCCATCTTCTCCGACATCTTCGACAACCAGTCCCGCGGCACCGCCATCGCCATGTTCTCCAGTATGGTCTTCCTCGGGCCGCTGCTCGCCCCCTTCATCGGCGGCTTCATCAACATGTCGTACCTCGGCTGGCGCTGGACCGCGTACATCCCCGCCATCATGGGCTACGCCGCCCTCATTCTCAACTTCTTCTTCCTCAAGGAGTCGTATCCGCCCGTCATCCTCATCTACAAGGCCGCCGAGCTGCGCCGCCGCACAAAGAACTGGGGCATCCACGCCAAGCAGGAGGAAATCGAAATCGACCTGCAGGAGCTACTCGTCAACAACTTCTCGCGCCCGCTGCGCCTGCTCGTGCGCGAGCCCCTCATCCTCGCCGTCACCGTCTACCTCAGCTTCATCTACGGGCTCCTGTACTGCTTCCTGACGGCGTATGGCCTCGTCTACCAGGGCGTCTACCACATGAACGCCGGCATCGGCGGGCTGCCGCTCTTCGGCATGGTCGTCGGCCTGTTCATCAGCGCCGCCTACATCGTTGTGTTTGCGAGTAGATCGTACAACAAGAAGCTGCAGGAGAATGCCGGCGTGCCCGTCCCGGAATGGCGTCTCCCGCCGGTGATTGCTGGCGGGGCGCTCTTCGCGGCGGGCATCTTCTGGTTCGGATGGACGGGCTTCACGGCCGAGGTGCCCTGGATTGTGTCGACGCTTAGCGGGCTCTTCACGGGCTTTGGGCTGTTGATTGTGTTTATTCAGCTGTTCAATTATCTGATTGATACGTATCTCATGTTGTAAGTGCCCTGCCCCTGGTTTACGGAGGCGTTTCTTTGTTTCTAACGAGTGCAGTGCGGCGTCGGCCATCGCAGCAAATACGTTCTGTCGGTCCGTGCTGGCAGCTAGCTTCCCGCTGTTTTCGCGGCAGATGTTCAATAATATGGGCATCCAGTGGGCTTCGACGCTGCTGGGGTGTGTTGCGACTGCTCTGGTGCCTATCCCGGTTATCTTCTACCTGTATGGGAAGCGGCTTAGGATGAAGAGTCATTTTGCGCCGACCTTTGAGCTGGATGAGGCGGCGCATGCGCCAAATGCGCCGACAGAGATGACTGAAAACAAGGGGGGAGAGGATACAAATGGGCAGACGGAGGAGAGACGGCAGTCGTGATCTTGTCGTCGGTCAAGATGTAAATATTTGTTCCAAGTATATAATAGAATCTGCAGCGTACTGTATCCTTGTATCCGGTAGGTCCATCTATATTTCAGGTGACATGAGAGCTTGACCTGAGGGATACCGACGGTAGAGACTGAGCAGCGTAGAGAATTATACTGAACGACGACAGTGCTACACTTGCAGTGTTCTGCTCTAATGTATCCAGAGTAGCGAAGAGATAACCGAACCAAGTCGACAAGTCTCATATCTCAGAACTGTGTCTCTGCGTTGGACTATGACTTTGTGAAAGAGACCTAATTTGTAGCAACGGGTATCGTCTGCATGCGGTATCAAATCACGTTTTCATCTCTATTGCCTGGTCCGGTTGTACCAAATGAGACAATGCTTTGTTCATGTCTTTGTCCTAATGGCTCCCTTCGGCCGATTGTTCAAAGACTCGCTGCGGCACAAGCCTTGTCTGTCTTCCCTAGCGGCATTATATGGAGATTCCTTGTCCTCATACTGTGCTGTCTTGAAAAAGAGACAATTAGTTGCTTCTAGCTATGTGCTATCATGGACTTTTCCGCCAATTGATAATGAGGATGAAGACACAGTGAAGATGCCTTATTCAACAATGACAGATGGAAGACAGGTACAGCGTCATTTAGACACGTTAAAGAAGGTATGTCTTGCATCCTGGAGATGGATTGAGACATTAGAGGGAGCACAGCTATATAAGGACCATTATTTCTCGACAGCGTAGGTCAATTCCATCTTCATCATCGCCATCTTCTCTCTTCTTCCTTCAACTCTTTTACTTGTACGATCACAGTATTTCTGTCAGATCTCAGCCCTTTCCCAACCTCGTTATTTCTTCTCAATTCCTTCGTGGTCATCCTCGCCAACTATTAGATGGCGAACGAAACCCCCAGACCTCGCTCATTGCTGGAGCTCCCTGCGGAAATCCTGCAGCATACCCTGGGCTTTCTCGACGAGAAAGAACTGCGTCGCATCGCGCGAGACGTAGAGGACCTCGCCTCGCACGCCAAAGAGGTAATAAAACTCCGATTCAGACAGAAAAATACTTACACCCTTCCAGATGAGGCTGCTGTTCTCGAGCGCCACGGGGGCAGGCTCCCCGACAACGTGCTGCCCACCAACCACCTTCGCCATCCCTGCGAAGTTCCCTTCATTCGCGTCCCCGACACCATTGCCGGCATCATCAGGACTGATAACCTCGAGATCCTGAAGGCGCTGATCGAGGCCGGTCTGGACCTGATGTCCTTCAGCTTTGGTGGCTGGCGCCTGCTGGGCCTGGCTCTCGCATGGGGTAATGAGGCCATTGCCAAGTACCTCATCGACAAGATGCAGCCCGAGGACCTACTGTATGGCGTTTGTCGCGTCGGAAGACGGGGCGAGCCGCCAAACTTCCTCACCTTAGCCGCGTACTACAGCGCCGACATCTTCCGCAGGATGTGGCAGCGGGTCCGCGGTCTGCCAAACTGGCAAGGCCAAGTCACCGAAGTGGCTCGCTTCCAGCTGTGCAGACACGCGGATGCGCTTCTGGCCTGGGACCTCGCCGAGGACGGGGTCGACATTGCAGTCTGTCTGATGCCCTTCCTCGGGAGAAATGCCTGGCATGCGGTCGCCGAGTCCAACGACAACATGGACTTCTTCGAGTACCTGTTCGGCCGCATTCCCGAGGCGATCAATAACAGCAGCGCGGAGAACGGACGCACGCCGCTGATGATCGCAGCCTCAGAGCAGTGGCATGATCGCACCAATGCGATCCAATGGATGCTCCGGCATGGAGCTGATCCCGCGATAGAGGTTGGTGGGAGAACCGCCGCTTGGTTTGCGAGCGCGGCGCACAACTTTCACTTGGCTAGTTTGCTTTCCTCTTCCTCTTCTCCGTACTCTGAGTCGCTTCGAGGCTGATACATGCAGGTTACTCCAACTGAAAGGCAAAAAGGAAAACAGAATACCCAAAAAAGGTACAGTACGTCTCGAACCTGGTGCAACCACCTACACTCTTCGACTTGTTTCCCAACCGCAAGGCAAAGTCACATTAGTCTAGATTAGTGGTAGCTCCGAAATATCAATATTGCAGTCACTGCTTCGATACAGCGCGTCACTTTAGTTCCATACATTGCTATGTCTCGTAGACTCGTACTTGCGTTGAACAATCCAAGCCCACCAGAATTTGCGTGCTCTGTAGTACTGCAAACAAGTCCTAGGAGCACGAGCGGGGAAAAGCGGCTCCTTACTGTTCCAGGTTCGGATGTGGAGCTCCGGGTGCTGAGCTTCAATTACTCTGTACTTACCTGCGCCTCGCGATCCCACCGCCTTATATAGACTACTGGCGAGTTTCTATCTCCAACGTTGTCATAAATGGTCCAAAATGAGGGTCATCGTCACTGGCGCCACTGGCTTGGTTGGTAGTGCCGTGGTGCGTCAATGCATTGCCAATCCCGCCATCACAAGGGCCCTGATTCTGACGCGGAAGCCTTTACCAAGCGACATCTCTGACAATCCCAAAATCACTGTTATTATTCATGAAGACTTCGGAAGCTATCCGCCAGAACTCTTGACACAGCTCAAGGGTGCGGAGGGCTGCATATGGTGTGTTAACAATGATAGGCACTGACTATGAAGATGTTAATAAGGGTGGACAGGGCTGTTGGAGGGCCAGCTTACCGTTTCCCAGATGTGGAAACCTGCAAAAAGGTGCATGGCTTTGCGCTTATTGCCGCGAATGCCTTTGCAGATACCTTAGCCCCGGCGCTGAATGGAAAGAAGTTCAAGTTTGTCTTTTGTAGTGGGATGGGGGCGGAATGGGATCAGACGAAGCGCTTGTGGTTCCTGAAGGATACCAGACGGATTAAGGTTAGTGACATTCGTTTGCCATCAACTTTGGGAATTTAGGTCTGATAACTGTGCAGGGTTATATTGAGAAGCAGCTAGCTGCTATTGCGGACAATGAAAGGGGCGGGTTCGCGGTCTCGTGCGTTCGACCAGGCGGGGTCTTATCCTCCAGAGCAAATATATTGGAGAAGCTGTCCGCAGGGATATTTCCCTGCATTGAAGACGACCATCTCGCAAGGGCGATGATCAAGGTCCTTCTGGACGACAATTCCGGGCGAATCATCGAAAATGACGAGTTGCTGAGGATGTGATGAGGCGCCGACTGCTGGTTTTTCTACGCTGGTATCGAGATGCCCTAACCGGAGGTTCTTATTGTGTTTTACCTCTCAATACGTCCTCGCTAGGATTAAGACCGTCTCCCTGATGGTTGCACCAGCTTCGGGACGTACTGTATTCTGTATGTTTTTCTCACCCAGTTTAGGTTTTGGTCTGGTTTTGATTTCGTACTGGCGTATATCGCAAGCCATATCATCACTTATTCTTGATTCCTCCTCTCGAGACATCTTGGTGGATTAATAGACCGTAACCCATTGTAAGCGTAGAGCGTAGAGTTCGGGCGACTTGTAAACAGAGAAAGATCCATAATAGCAGAGATGACTCCAAATTGGTTGTCATGATCATTGAACCGTTGCCTCTGTGGCTGCAGGAGCTAGACTCTATTACAAAATTTACTTTGCAATGGCTATGCTAATGCATTGCTATCCATGCATACCTGAAGCTGCCCAACCTGCTCAGGGTACTGAAGCCATTACGGGTCACATTGCTGAAGGTACGGCGGCGCCTGGCCTGCTCAATTCTACCAAGATGCCACTTTATCCGGAAAGTGAAATTCACTCATGCAATAGTGCTAAAGCATGAGATGAATAATGGATCAAGCTCCACAGCCAATCTGACGCAGAGGTTCTCTGGATTTATGATTGATATCCGTTTCGTGCTTCAAAGTATATACTTATGATGGTGGCTGGTCTAAAGCAGAGCCCTACTCCCCAGGCCGGACAACCATCGCTTACTTACTCTCAAAGAAGTAAAGCTTGTCGATAGAATCACCAATCGGCAACTTCTGTCATGATTCTTGGGCAATTGTGCCTTTGCCCGCCGAGGCTGAGCCTAATCAGGCGATCTTGTATTGCCAATAGCCTTGATTCCTGTGCCCCGCCTTTCGTCATGACCACATGGCAGTGCCCATGACAGATAAACAAAAGCTACAGAGTAGATATAAGACGCAGGATTCAAGCCTGCTGCAACAACTTTCCTGTCAACCATCGAATTACCAAAATGGAGGACCCTAACGGCTGGGAGATCTACGCATCGCAAAAGCAACTGAACCGGAGCAACTGGAGATCCGTCGCGGCTAGTCTCGGCCGCCAGCTGTCCACTACGCCTGAGCATTTGTCCAGGGTCTTGTATATTCCCCGTCATGACGGTACGACCTCGCATCTGCCGCTATACGATGTTAGCTCCCAGTACCTTGAGGCGATTGGCGATGCGCCCATCGGATCGAGCAAATACGCGGTTTGCCTGGGGATGATGAAGCGGCCCAAGGGCGACGGGACGGATCACGTCCCTGTGGCGTACATCGTCAACTTCACCGCAGGGGACAAGGATAAGGTCGTCGGGACGGTGGAGTATCGTGTCCAACCGGATTCAGCGGTGGCAGAGAATGCGGAGGTGGAGTTGTATGTTTCTCGTCAAAGCCAATACAATACGCACATCGCTAATGCTCTCAGGACAATCGGCAATGCCGATGACGAAGCTTGCTCGATCAAAGTCAACAGTGACTGTGCACAGCGAATTGACCCAGTCGCAGTCGGCGTCTCCTACCCCATTCCGCCCTCAGTGACCAAAGTCGGGACGGTCAAGCATCCCTACTTTCATTTCCGGATGCCTTTCGAGTCCAAGATGGCCCAGTTCGAGTGGCAAGTCCATCCAGTCGAGCATGGGCCGCTGCGATATACCCTGGTTCGCATGCCGGGCGAGGATACCACGGATGAGAGCAGCGCTGAGCCCGAGGCCGACGTGCATGCAATCTACCACCACATTGGACTGGGCGTGTCGATGTCCGTACCGCATAGTGAAGGTGTCCTGCTGCTACCGCCGTGCACAGACCCCAAGTCCGAGGCGATAATTGTAGCGAGTGTGCTGGGCATGCTCAGGCGGGTGCGTGGTCTGGATGGAGAGAAAGGGAAAAAGGAAGCGAAACACCACCGGTTTGGGTCGGTCAGGAAGATACTCAAGAGGGGGAATTGATGAGAAATGAGACTAGGGCGATTATGATATTCAAGTTGATATTTAATGAAAGTGCTTCTCTATGAGGAAAACGACTGGAAGTTATTAGGGAGGCGCGGCAGTTCCATGCATGATTCTATTCTTGAACTCCTAGACTTACGCCTCGCCGTGGCCTCTTGGTTGACCCACTGTACTAAATCAAAGCCCTGTACTCCCAAATGCTCTGTCAACTAATCTTTATCGTTGCTACAGGGGGATACTGCCCTTGAGTAGCCTCTCAGGCCAGGAGAACAGCCTTAATAAAGAATGCATCTGGATCCCAGAGAGTAAGCTCCTTAGTCATAGAGGGAAACACCTGGTACAGAAATCACTCTACATCTACGCTGCGTTATAGTTATAATGCGCCTAGACTTTACACAGAGCTTGCAGAATGAAGCCATGGCCTTAAGAATCTCCAGTTACGCAAAGTCCTGCATCGAAATGCCTTTTAGAGATTATTACTGTTCGGAAACTCAATGCTGGCCTTGAGGTGAGCTCACGGACGGAGCTCCAAACGTGCTGCAAGGTGCTATAACAGAATTACTTCGCAATGGCTATGCTAATACATTGCTAGCCATGCATAGCCTCCAGAGTAAGCACAATGTGTGTTTCCTGATTAGGAAATAGAAGAAGTGGATCTGCCCCGCACTGGCGTCTGGGTCGAAAAGCTCAACCAATCAAAAACATGAGTCAGCATGAGTCATTTTGGCTCATTCTTGGCATTTGCATGTCGGAGACTAACCGTTTCTGGAAACCGAGGATTGGCCAATCATATTACGTTGTCGTGTTGGATATTGAGATGAGGTTATAGAGATACAGGATGAGTGAGGATGATACAGGATGATGTTGATGATAATGAAGCCTGAGAGTAGGACATGATCTTGTTTGATCATAACGCTCATTTCGACTCATTATGAGGGTAGATGATAGTTGCAATAAGAGATACAGATAATGAGATATAAAGAATAGCTGTTAGAGGAGTAGTAGAAGTAGAGATGGACGCATTGGACACTGTGCTTCAGATGGAAGACTGAGATGATAGTTAGTTTCTGGTAAGTCATCCACAGTACACATATACTGCCTCTGTATGCAACCAAGAATGATTATACCCTCCGAGCTGATATGCGTGGCATTCTGAAGCTCTTGAAGATGAATCATAGGAAGACATCTTCAAGCGATGAGTCGACATCTTCTGACTTGATTCTTCTTGTTCTATCTGCTGTTGAGACTTACAATGGTCATCCTACTGACTGTCTTATATCCAGGACCACCAGTTAAGTAGCTTAGGGAGGACGGAGGAGGAGGAATGAACGTGAATGGCCAATTACTCAATAGTACCTCTATCGTTCCATAGGTAGACTTTCTGCAGACTAGTGGACCGATATTAATTAAGACTGCGCCCCACCCGCGGACGGTGCACCCGTAACTTATAAAGCGCCATCCCCCGCTTACTTTCTTACCCTCTCTTCTTCTCATCCATCATCGTCGCATTCGACGATCCAGGCGCCCTTTTTCCTATATCTTTGAGAACCCGCCGGGTCGCAGACCCGGCCTAAAGTATCGAACAATGTCGGCCACCGCCATATCTGTGCAGATGGTCCGCCAGACCGCCCACTTCTTCTTCCAGCCTCAGCAATTCGCATAGTTCCAATTCTACACATCTCCAACCGCATCATCAGTTTTCTTCCTTTGAGTTCTACGATAGTAACCCGGCGTTTTGTTCTCCAAATTTTGTCTTTCCGGACACCGATCTTGATCTTGCCTCGTTTGTTCCCGACCCGTCCTTGTCGCTCTACGACACCGACCCATCTGCCTTTCTACCATTACCCCCGGATCTCGCTGGTTCCGGTGATCTGGACTATGCAAGTCTGCCAACAGGGACTTCCAGTTCGCCGTATGCGCCCGATTCATTTGACTTGACTGCGATTTCGACTCCTGTTGATGTGAACGACTCTCTGCCTATTTTGGATATTGACTCCTCGGGCACGGATTCAGGTATGTATCACTAGTCCTGACTGGAACCAGAATCATACTGATATCGGCAGACACCCAAATCAACCACGGCCAACTACCTTTGCTCATGCCCGCCTCGAGACTCCCTCCCGTGTCCATTACTGCCCCATCGACCTCTAAGGACAACCCGCCGAAGGAGACCCCGAACCGGGTCTCGAAGCGTCAGCTCAATACCCTTGCTGCGCGGAGATACCGCCAGCGACGGGTGGACCGGATGAACGAGCTTGAGGCGGAACTGGAGAAGGTGAAGCGGGAGCGGGACGAGTTGAAGATGCGGGTGTCGAAGCTGGAGGGGGAGACGGAGGCGTTGAGGGGGTTGGTGAAGAATAGAGACAAGTAATTTGGTTAGTTTTGTGTATATTCAATGCAACATACTCTTACTCTTGTAATGAATCTCCCACTTGTTGATCTGGTCTCGTGATGTATTGCCAACTGCTCGTCCGTGTCAATCAGCCATGGCGTTATCCCACGGAGTCAGCATACAAGTAGAGACCACTGCTGGAAGATGAGATATAATAATATCTTACTTACTACACAGTCTGATTTAAGGTATATCAATATTTAACTGCTCAGATATCAGTTCTGCCGTTGAGATAAACCTTAATGGTAATGACTGTTGGTGATCCACCCAAGCCTCTGTACATCCTGCGGCTGATCTCCCACAAATCAGGCTGCATCCGGATTATCAATCAACCCATTTCCAGGGTTACTGATGGAGATTTCCAAGATCGACGGAATGTTAAGCAGTAGAGAGAGAGACGAAGGAAAAGGGGATAATACAAGAGAGTAACAGTGACGTCATTGCGCATCATTTGCCGAACCACAGCACCAACTGGTTCCTTTCCCTGGAAAGAGAAGATCCTGTCGAGATCTGTGCCTCGTCCCCAGAGCCTCCATCTTTAGCTCAATCGTCAACTCAATCGTACAGAGAGTGTTCTAGACAGTGGGCGATGTGCCCAGGGCTCATCCACCATGTCCCCCAGCGATAACAGCAACAACGATAGCCACACCCTGAATGAGAACGAGACCGAGGACCAGAGCAAGAACGATGGGATCACGAGCAAGGCAGGTAAACTCATCAGAGATGGGACTGGCAGAAAAGTATGCGCTAACTGTCTCCCCCAAGCAGAGCATGGACCTAGCCCCCTGCACCAGCTGCACCGGGCTGGACCGGCCAGACGCACCCCTGGTTATGAACCCAGGCAATGAGGACGACGTGGACGACGTCGCGACGAAGCTGATCATGGAGGACCCCAGCTACCACCGGGACCTGCTTAGGGATATGCTCAACGTGATGCGCCTGGTGGACGACGCTCACGTGCAGACGCTGCTGGGGATGATCCGCTCCGACTGCGCGCTGGAGGAAATGAAACACTTCGTCGACAAGACCTTGAAGGATGTGCAGGATGCCGGCCGCGACGGGGAGACGGTCGAGCGGCTGCAGGATATGCGGATGCGGGTGCGCATCGAGAGCGGCGAGCCGGCGTTTCGGCCGCAGGTCATGGACATCCATTATCTGTGCGACGGGGTGCCATACAAGGTGCCTGCCAAGCCGTGGACGACGGTGACGGATGACGACGCGCTGGTGTCGCATCTGATATCGTTGTATTTCACCTGGGATTATCCGTTCTACGCGTTTGTCGATATGAGGGCGTTTGTCCAGCATATGCAGGACAGGAATACCAACTCGGACCTGTGCAGTCCGTTTCTGGTCAACGCCATGCTGGCCAATGCATGTGTATGTCTGTCTGTCTGTCTGTCCGGTCTGGGGAGACTTTGCTGACAGGAACAGCATTATTCACAGTACTCCGAGGCATATGCGATACCGGGCGATGTGAAAACCAAGGGGAGTGATTTCCTCGCCGAAGCCGAACGACACATGCATAGCTACCAGCTCGAACGAGGGAGGAATGTCCGCCTTGCGTCTTTGCAGGCGACCCTGCTTCTGTATGAAAGGTAGGTGCCTTCCCCAGAAACCATTGCCGCGTATATTGACAGTGCAGGTATTCCATGTCTGGCGACGACGACCTGGGATACACCATGTTGAACCGCGCCATCGACATGGCCGAGTCCCTTGGAATCATCAACGGCCCGGATCTCGACCTGGACAAGCTGCAAATGTCCGAGGAGATGCGATCGTCGATCAAACGAACTGCCTGGGGGTTATTCCAGGTCGACACGTAGGTCCTTGTACTCTGCTCCGCTCGTTCTGCTCCCGCTGACGGCATAGCGTTGTGCACACCAACTTCCGAAAACCGAGCAAAATCCACCACGTGTGCGTCGAGCGCATCGACCGCGATGAAAGCCAGCCCAGCGAGCTATGGGTCCCTTACCCGACAGGCAGAACGCCTCGGCCGTCGTTTCTCAGCCAATACTTTGACGAAGCGTGCCGACTGTCCTTCATCGCGAGGGACATCTCCCACCATCTGTATCAAGAGCCTAAAACCGACGCCACCCAGCACGAACGAAAGAAGGAGTTTTACGACAAGCTCCAGGACTGGGAAGCCGAGCTCCCGGACTGTTTCGACCCAGCCGGCAAACCCCCGGCCCATATCATCTTACTGAGGTTGCCTCTCCTTTCCCTTGGCTTGGCCTCCGCTTACTGACGCTATGACATAGGATGCGCTACCACGCCATCATGATCAGCCTCTCGCGCGACGGGTTTGGCGTCCACACCTTCTTCTCCGAGGAAGAAGGCAAAACACAGACCACCGTCCCCCCGTCCAGCCAGCTCCCGCCGCACCTCCGCGACAAAGCAACCGAGCAGAGTCTCGCGTCGGCACGCGCCATCGCGGCCCTGGTCCGCATCCACCGCGAGGAATACGGCATCGGCCGCACGCACCCGTTCACCACGTACGCGATCATGGTCGCGCTGTTCACGATGCTCGACCACGCATCGTTCGACATTCTAGACAGTGACTTTCTGGCCCTCACCAGTGCGTTCTCGGTCATCGCGTGCCGGTCGCAGGTGGGTCGGAATCTGTTCCATATCTTCCGGCAGTCGGTAAGGGCGCATGACCCGGAGGCGCGCGTGCTGCAGTCGGACGAGGCGCCGGAGGAGATCAAAGAGCTATTTGGGCGGTATCCGCGCTCGCAGAAACCGGACAAATGGGATGATTATGAGGATGGGCTGGATAAGTTGGGGGAGGGCGAGGGGCGGGATGCGGGGTCGGTGGATGGCACGAGGATGAGAAATTATGCGGCGTCGGGGGTGCGTGATATGTTGAAAAAGTATGAGAGTCTGAGTCTGGGGCACGATCGGAAGTAGCAGCCTCTTCTGCATGTATTTGTATCTATCTATCTATCTATCTATCCATACTATCATGAATGCACGGTCGCGTCTATATCGACCACTCAATCGCCTGTGATATACACACATGCCACCGAGCTTAAGTGTCCAGACAATTATCTCTAGCCAGTAAGAGAATCAGATACTGAGAAATTTAGATAGTGGGTAGTATGTAGATATACTACGGTCAAAGTAGTCCTGTCATACTCCCCATACCCCAAGCGCAACCAGTATAAGACATGGCATGCTACGCTCGCTTCGCTGCTCAGTAATGATACACAAAATCCAACGCCTTGTCCCCCGTCCTCACAGCCCTTGTATCCTCCTTCTCCCCCGCCTCAATCTCCCTCTTCAAGCTATTCTCCCTCCGAAGATACACCGCATGCGCCAGAACCACCGCCTGGGAAACGACCAGCGCCCCCAGCGAGAACGAATTGCCAAGCACATACGGCGACGTCCGATAGATCTGCCCGGAGACAATCCCCGCCAGGTTCCCAATCGTCTGCTGGACGCCGATCTCCAGCGCGCGGCGGTAATGCGGCGCCACATTCACATTCAGCCAGGCGATGTTCAGCCCGACGCCGGTGTAGGTCGCCACCCCGATGAGGTACGTCGCGAAATACTTGACCGCATCATTCGACACCGCCAGGAGGAGGATATACCCGACCAGCCCGAAGACGTTGGCGACCAGCAGGAACGGCGCAAAGCGGCTGTACCGGTCCGCCGCCCACGCGACGCTCACAAACACAATCGCCGCCCAGCAGTACACCGGCACGGTGAGGATGTTGCTCATGAGCGAGTCGTAGCCGATCCCCTTGAGAATGGTGGGGAGGAAGGTGCTGAACCCATAGAGCAGAATATCCTGGCAGAACTGCGTGACGGCGCTGAAGGCGAGTTTGGGGTCGGCGATGGCGATGCGCATCTCGGCCCAGGTGAACTCGTCGCTGCCCATGTAGGCGCGGCGCTGCTCGTTGCGCACGCGCATCATGTGTTTCTCGTCGGGGGTGAGGAAGTAGGCGTTGGCGGGGTCGTTGGGGAGGCCGAACCAGATGAGGAATGCGCAGATGAGGCTGAACAGGCCTTCGATTATGTATACCCATCTTTCAGTTGCATTGCGTTAGCATTTTCATTTACTCTAAGGTGACGTGAAGTGAAGAGAGTGAGGTACCTCCATCCAGCCTTCCCGCCAATGCCATCCATATGCAATAGGCCATACGCAAGCAACCCGCCAAACGCGCCCGAGATGGCGGCGCAGCTCATGAGGTACGACACCCGCTTCGCCTGCTCCTCGCGGCGGTAGACCATCGTCAGGTACAGATTGAGGCAGGGGAAGAGGCCGGCCTCGCAGGCGCCTAGGATGAGCCGGGTAGCGTAGAGCGCGGGAACATTCGTCACGAACCCCGTGAAGACGGTCGTGATGGACCAGACGATGCACAGCCCCGTTAGGATGTTGCGCGGGGTGAGCTTCTTCATCAGCACGGCCCATGGGGCCTCGAGGAGCACGTAGGTCACGTAGAAGATGGAGACGGCGGTGGAGAATTGGCTGGGCGAGGCGCCGATGTCTTCGGGCATGCCTGCTACTTTGACGTTTCCTATTTCGTGTCAGTGTAGATCAGATAGCTGGGTAAGAGGGAAGATACCGATGTTGGTTCGGTCGAGGAAGCAGGAGAGGTAGGTTAGCATGATGATGGGGACAAAGGCGAGGTCGAGTTTGAGGAGGAGTTTGCGCTCCTTTTTCGGGTCGAGGACGACATTTTCGATGGCGATGCCCTGGTCGATGTCTTTCTCTTGGGCATTGTCGCCTTCCAGGGGTTCCTGGAGGGAGGGTTTGTGGTCTACTGGCTCGGTGGACATTTCGTCTGACTCTGGAGTCTGGAGTATAGACGACCAAGTCTGGATGCACCGAGGACTAGTCTTATAACGAGCTGGCCAGGATCGGTAAATGATAGCAGTTACCCCGGAATCTGATAGGCAATACAATACGGCAATGGATTATCTTCCGTAATGAAAACTGCCATGCCAATCGTTTTCCTCGGCCGATCATCCCCTCA